AATAATACAATTTGATTTACAAGGAAATTGAATAAAAGACAAATCAGAAAAGATCTCCAAATGATCAACTCGTTGATACCGCTTGATATGCTATTTTCATGCTGATTTGTTGAAGATTCTGCATTGCAATCATTCTGATTTTTTTGCCTTTTAATTTGTTACTTCAATATCTACTTCGGCGATTTCTTCAACAAAGGCCTTGAGATTTTTGTCCGAAGATCCACCTTCCTTGGAAACCTCCATGATCAAATCCTTCCACTTCTTTACATTCTTTCTAATTTCATCACCTCTCTCTCCACCTCCCGTGACCAATTCCAAGCACTTCTTGATTTCACCTCCCTCAACAATAATGCCTTCTTCATTAATCTCGGACACTCGAATCCCGACCTTCCACACGTTCTCGACGAGATTTGCATTTGTCATCTGGTCAGCAAATTGTGGGAATGCCACCATCGGGATTCCGCACACCAAGCTCTCGACCGTTGAGTTCCACCCGCAGTGAGTAAATAAACATCCTATTGAAGGATGCGACAAGACCTCGATTTGAGAGCACCATGGGACTGTCACTCCTCTCTTGTCTAATTCTTCTTTGTAAAACAGTTCATCATCATCTCCGTCACTTTTTCTCATCGCCCACAAGAATGGCCGACCAGTCTCTAGCAATCCGCGCGCCATTTCTCGCTTTTGTGCCTTTGATAACCTTGCTATGCTTCCAAAGGCTACATAAATTACAGACGCTTCCTCCTTTGTGTTCAACCATTCATCATAATCCTCGGAGCCCAGAAAGCCGTCGCTTCCGGAGGATTTTTCTGAATCTAGGACACCAAGCGGGACAAGGGGCCCGATTCCGACCAAATTTAGTGTGCCGATTGCTCTTAATGCCTCAAGTTCGAGCGCATCGAAGGTGTTCACAAGTACCACTTTTGGATTTTACCCCTCTTTTAGGTTCTCTAATAAGGTTTGGATTTGTGGCAGAGCGAAAGCATACTTGTTTCCTATGTGGAGAAAGGAGGGGACGTCGTTGAAGTAATAGTAGTATACATCGAACACTGTAGCAGGTTGAATCCAGACGAGAACCGATTTGATTTGAAGGGAACGAGCAACATCGTCGACCCAAGACAACATCGTGTGGAGCACGCATGTGAACCTGAGGCCTTGCCCAGAACTATGCTCAATGAGGCCTCTAAGAGCTTCCGACCCCCGCCGCTTCATCTTGGCCCTGAAGCGCTCGAGGTCATCCCCTGGCACATACCCATTGTCATAGCCATCGGAGAACGTGGTGAAGGTTACACCTTCAAGGCAAACCGGATTGATCATGCAGCGGTGGGCGTAGACTATGGTGAGGAAAGTAACACGGCCGCCGACCCGTGCGAGGCGATCAGCTAGCTGGAGGACAGGGTTCATAGCCCCGCGTTGCGGGAATGCTACGAGGAGAAAAGCGGGGAGGAGCCATGATTTTAGCAGGTAGCTAGGGAAGTGCAACTGATAAATACTGTGGGTCGGATTTGATTTGGTTGGATTATATTAATTAAATATTGGCTCGAGGAAGCTCGTAAGTCGTAATTGGAGGGCCCACATCTCATCTTTAACCTATTTTTCATGCACGACATCGTCAAATGCTTTTCTCATGATATTTGAAAATTCAATTATTTTTTCATTGAACAACTCAAAAGCTTTTATGTTGGGGACGTGGAACCACTCAAATGTCATTTCGTTCTCGAGCTAACCACTATTTTTCTCCTTTTCTATACTCTCAGCCATCACTTGCTAGTCGCAACTACAATTCAAACATGGCTGCCCATGAAAATCAACAGACAGACCGAAGATTCTACCCCTGAAAAGAAGGCAACATAGAAAAGAAAAAGATGTCATAAAGAGAAGATAATTAACTTAACATTGTAACGTAAGGCCTTGAATTTCTACTTCTGCTTGATCATTTGTCGAGAATAGCCAAGTCCAAGTACCAACATATCTGCCATCATCGGCAGTTAATGCCACGAATATGGAGCCGCGCTAAGAAACCGAGCAAAGAGTACTCTGAAATGGATTTCAATGCAGAGATCAACGGTTCTGAAATTGTGATTAACTTTCCAAATTATGTAGGGATGAAAGCAGGCAAAAGTGTTCGACAAAAATCCAGCGGCCCGTCCCTGACGATCATCGGAGTCGGAACTGCCCTTTGCCACTCGTTGCCGTTGCCGGTACTCACAGTTAAATGAAAGCGGCTACTATTTTGTGAAGCTCGTCATTGAGCATTTTAGAGACCGACTCTAGCCGCTGTCCTCAAAGAGATCTATTAGGGATGGCTATCCTGCCCCAAATATATAGCTACTTTAAACTTCTGTCCCCATCTACTTGTAATGAAGGGGCTTCTCTGAGAAAGTGCCATATAGGACCCGTTGTCCCCAAGCATTGTCGCCAAAACATTAAGTCCAGTTTCTGAACTTATCCCATGAGGTTGGAGTTGAAATACGTTCCTAATCTCATATTTGAAGCCACCAAAGTAACATTATTATGGTTTGGTCTTTTGGCTTCATACATCCCATGCCATTCCCGAGTGTATTCTTCAACAGACTAATGGGAGCATGAAGCAAAGGTTTGATACATTTACTCGGAGAGATTGCCAAAAGGGAGCTCAACTTCGAGCCCGTTAACATATCTAGTTGAACTCACATTCACTTAAAAGTTTAAGCTAATGAGTGACAAGTTAACTAAAATAAATTAACTGCTCCACACAATACCAATTATCTAATTTGAGATTGTTCTAGCACAACTCACACTTGTAACTCAACAATATCCCTCTTGCGTGTGAGGTGTATGAGACGTGTGAGCTTAGTGTTAGGTTTGCTCCCCTTAATTCAAGTATCCGTCTGCATCAACTTATCTCAACTTGAATATCCAACGCCCACCTTTATCCATGGTCTCTTTCTCTACACCAAACCATAAAGTCTACCATTGAGACCGCGTTGCCACACCACATCGATCTAGAAGATGCGTTGATCATCAGATTCCTTCCTTGAGATACTTACCAAATACCATAACAGATTGGGAGCCCATAATTCACCATCAGCTCTGATACCAATTGTTGCGGAAACAGGCGATCCAACACTAATAAACAGGACAGGAAAATAGATCGGACACCAAATGTACGTGGTTCGGTCGGTGTGACCTACGTATATGGGGAGAGTAGTAAAGAATTACACTATAGATCAAGCGATACAACATAAATTATAACCACACTCGAGTCACTCAAATACTTTCAGTGTTTTTCAAGCCCCAATAACTCACACAGTATTTAGCCCAGCAATTTCTCATGAAATAATCTCTCAATCTCATGAAGGAATTCACAAATCTTATTGACAAGATTTAATTGGCTTCAACATTAAAATATCTTTAGGTGTAATTCATGAAGAAGTCACCTTTTTGATACACTTCACAAGAAGTCACGCTTCTTATGCATATACAAAAAATTAGTTCCAAAACAGGAGACCCATTCATACAAGGAAACCAATTTCAACTAGGAAACATATTCAAATTTAATTGGGAGCATGCACCAGAAGCCCGACTGAGGAAATTGCCAAGATGGAGCCCAAGTCCGAGCCCAATGTACATTCATTCAAAAGCTTGAGCTTATGAGTTATGAGCCAGCTGTGATATATTAACTGCTCCACACCACACCAATTACTTAATGTGAGACTTTTCTAACACAACTCACACGTGCAACTCAACTCAAACATTTCATGTCATTGAAGATTGTGATGTCTCAAGAATTAACTTGTCTTGGCAACAATGCTTGGGCGGAAACTTTTGCTTCAACTCTCCTCGCATTTTATCCCAAGCTGTTATCTTGCTTCGTCCTTCTTGTTCACGATCTTCACTTCAAGTTCTCCTCATCAAATTGGTGCATACTTCTTGAACTTGGCAGCAACTAATTCGACTCTCTCAGTGATACCTAACAGGGTCGCATGACCTCACACTAGATCTAGCTTGGGTTGTGCTACCCCAACCAGATTTGGCCCTCGTCGGGATTGTGCACCTCGACCAGATTTGACTTGGATTGCCCAACTCAAATTAGATTTAGCCGTTGCAGGGGTCCGTGACACTTGTTAGGCATCGCCTAGGGTCCCTTGACCCCGGCGACGGCTTGGAAGAGCCTTGCAACCCTCGTCAGCACTGTCCTAGCAACATCCCCACGTCTTCTCTCTTTCTATCTCGCTTAGGGTTTGTTCTTTTTCATATAATTTTTTTCAAAATTTTGTCTATCAAAACCTAAAACTTACATCTAAACAGTGATTTATCCATTAAGCAATGATGCGACGCTCGCGTGTCAGTCCACGTCAACAATTTTGTTTTTATTTTAACAGAAGGACCAACTTGAACAAGAGAACATAAGGACCTAATTGCACAAAAAAATAATTCAGGAATCTTATTGAACAATTTGGAAATGGAGTCCTATGATGTCTATTTCTCAAATTAAAAAAAAAACATCACTCAATATAGTGAATAACGTTTCATACTAGTAGTATAAAAATAGGATAATTCGCCTATAAATGGAATAATAAATTCAACTACTATATGAACGACCAACTATCAAGAAGGCTTGTTTAAAATTGGGCATAAGCCATCAAAAATCTTAAAGAATGCCCACTATGACACTTTTGCTAAACTTTTTTCTGTGACACTAAAAATCTCAAATTTGTACAAGTGTGACACATTTATCCTCCATCACAATTTTGAGAACCGTTAAAAATCTGTATATATTGACACTAGAAAGTAAACAATGTTGACATGACTCTCGTGTAATTTAAGTAAAATAAAACTGAAGTTGTTTTGGTTGAAAAGGCATCTAACGAAACATTGATGGAGGGTAAATGTGTCACATAGGTACAAGTTTAGGGTTTTTTATGATAAAAGAAAAATTTTAGGGTAAATATGTCATAGTTGCTTAGTTTGAGATTTTTAATGTTACAAAAAAAGTTTAAGTTAAATGTGTCGTAGTGGGCATAGTTTGAGTTTTTTTCTCTTATAGCTTTTTTCCCTTTAAAATTCTTTCCATTTACTCTTTTAGTACTCGAAATAAGAGTCCATATTCATACATCAACTATATTGCCACTCAACTGGATACAATTTTAAAAAAATCAAGCAAATTTAAAGAACAGTAGGAACATATAAATTCAAGCTAACATGTAACATTTTATCATGAATCAATCTACTTGAGCGAATTCTTCAACAAAGGCCTTGAGATTTTTATCCGAAGATCCACCTTCCTTGGAAGCCTCCATGGCCAAATCCTTCCACTTCTTTGCATTCCTCTTAATTCCATCACCTCTCTCTCCACCTCCCATGACCAATTCCAAGCACTTCTTGATTTCCCCTCCCTCAACGATGATGCCTTCTTCATTAATCTGGGACACTCGAAGCCCAACCCTCCATATATCCTCGACGAGCTTTGCATTTGTCATTTGGTCGCCGAATTGAGGGAATGCGACCATCGGAACACCACACACCAAGCTCTCAAGCGTCGAGTTCCACCCGCAGTGAGTGAAGAAACATCCTATCGAAGGATGCGACAATACCTCAATTTGAGAGCACCATGGGATTATCATTCCTCTCTTGTCTAATTCCTCTTTGTAAATGAGTTCATCATCATCCCCATCACTCTCTCTCATCACCAACAAGAATGGCCGGCCGGTCTCTAGCAATCCGCATGCTATTTCTCGCTTTTGCCCCTTCGATAACGTTGCTATGCTTCCAAAGGCTACATAAATTACAGACGCTTCCTCCTTTGTGTTCAACCATTCAACATAATCCTCAGAGCCCAAAAAGCGATCGCTTCCGGAGGACTTTTCTGAATCTAGGACACCGAGCGGGACAAGGGGCCCTATTCCGACCAAATTTAGTGTACCGATCGCTCTTAATGCCTCGAGTTCAAGCGCATCGAAGGTGTTCACAAGAACCACTTTTGGATTTTCCCCCTCTTTTAGGCTCTCTAATAGGGTTTGGAGTTGCGGCAAAGCGAAAGCATACTTGTTTTCTATTTGGAGAAAGGAGGGGACATCGCGGTTGGTTAGGGGGGGTAGGCCGGGCAATCGTATGAGCGATGTGGTATCACCTCTTTGGCTTGCAACGTTCTTAATCACATCCTCATAGCCATTGAAGTAATAATAGAATATATCGAACATGGTAGCAGGTTGATTCCAGACGAGAACTGATTTGATTTGAAGGGAACGAGCAACATCGTCGACCCAAGACAACATCGTGTGGAGCACGCATGTGAACTTGAGGCCTCGTCCAGAACTATGATCAATGAGGCCTCTAAGAGCTTCCGACCCCCGCTGCTTCATCTTGGTCCTGAAGCGCTCGAGGTCATCCCCTGGCATACAGCCATCGTCATAGCCATCGGAGAACGTGGTGAAGGTTACACCTTCAATGCAAACCGGATCGATCATGCAGCGGCGGACGTACACGGTGGTAAGGATAGTAACATGGCCGCTGACCCGTGCGAGGCGTTCGGCTAGCTGGAGGACTGGGTTCATAGCGCCGCGTTGCGGGTGTGCTACGAGGAGAAAGCGGGGAGGAGCCATGATTTTAGGAGCTAGCTAGGGAAGTGCAACTGAGGAAGCTATGGAAGAGGTTATATAGAAAGACATGCCTCGTCTTCAACATGGAATATAATTTTCGTCGGCATATATGCCAAAGTTTGATAATTATAAGATATCATTATGATAAATACTGTGGGTCGGATTTGATTTGGATGGATTATATTAATTAAATATTGGCTCGAGGAAGCTCGTAAGTCGTAATTGGAGGGCGCACATTCTCATCTTTAACCTATTTTTCGTGCTCAAATGCTTTTGTCATGATATTTGAAAATTCAATTATTTTTCCATTGAACAAGTCAAAAGCTTTTATGTTAGGGACGTGCGACCACTCCAATGTCATTTCGTACTTGACCTAACCACTATTTTTCTCCTTTTCTATAGTGTCAGCCATCACGATAACTACAATTCAAACATGGCTGCCCATGAAAATCAACACACAGACCGAAGCTTCTTGATGCAGCCTGGTGTAGGCTACTCGAACATTAGGATCGGGAGAGTGACTTGCACACGTGGAATAGGACAAACAGTAATTACAGTCCTGCGCAAGCTCGGGAAAATGGATGTAACTTCGTCGATACAGATCAGAATGACCTGATTCCAAAGCCAAATGAACAAAGACTTATGGATTAACAATTTCTTTGTTTTGAGTTTTCTCAAATAAGCACTATAGAAAGGACGAAATAGGGGTGGAAGTGGACGGATGTATATGGACAGAACAGAGGAAAAGATAGAACTTCGTTGGTTGCTCTTCCAGGCCTCCGAGGAAGTGGATAGGGCACCGATTCTTCTGGATCGATGACTACAACTCTTCAAGGATGCAGATTTGAAAACCTCCGACTCTTCAAGGACGGAGTGAAAACTCTTCTAGGTTTTCAGGGATATGAACTCTTCAAGGTTCAAGATTATTGCTTGATGCAAAATTTTCATTAATCAAATTCATCTGTCGAATACATAAAGTAGATGGTCTTTTATAGCCAAAGAAAAACAAATGAAAAGACTCAAGCAAATGAAGAGACTAAAGAGCATTAAAGACCCTAGAAGGCATAAAACATTAAAGAACTTATAAACTAGAAACTAGATAAATGCCCAACGTCTTCTTGATCATTCCCAAAGTATCTTTTAGGCTTCCAATGTATAGGGAAAGACAAGGACTTTATTGTGGCATGGACTCGCGGATGAGACTCTTGGTCTTCGAATTGCGTCCCTTCGATATCTCCAAGACTGGTCGAGCGACTTGTCGAGCTCGAATGCGGGCTGATCTCCTTGGTCGAGTGAGCTCGTCTTCGATGCGGGCGGCATTATCAATCTGGCCTGCATCATCCTTCCCTTATCTAAAGAATTCTTCCTCGAATTCATGTCATCATCAAAGGAATTCAAGGACTTTATTGTGGCATGGACTCGCGGATGAGACTCTAGGTCTGTGAATTGCGTCCCTTCGATATCTCCAAGACTGGTCTAGCGACTTGTCGAGCTCGGATGCGGGCTGATCTCCTTGGTCGAGTGAGCTCGTCTTCGATGCGGGCGGCATTATCAATCTGGCCTGCATCATCCTCCCCTTATTTAAAAGAATTTGTCCCCGAATTCATGTCATCATCAGAGGAATTCAAGGACTTTATTGTGGCATGGACTCGCGGATGAGACTCTTGGTATTCGAATTGCGTCCCTTCGATATCCCCAAGACTGGTCGAGCGACTTGTCGAGCTCGGATGCGGGCTGATCTCCTTGGTCGAGTGAGCTCATCTTCGATGCGAGCGGCATTATCAATCTGGCTTGCATCATCCTCCCCTTCTTTAAAAGAATTCATCCCCGAATTCATGTCATCATCAGAGGAATCACCAGCATAAGGTGTTAAATGCCGAACGTTGAAAACATCATGTGTTTTCATATGAGAAGGAAGCCTTAAGCGATATGCATTGGGATTGATGCGCTCAAGAACTTCAAGAGGACCAAGCTTTCGATCACTAAGCTTGTTATAGCTTCCAACAGGATGATGCTCTGGTGGCAAGTAAGCCCAAACAAAATCTTCTGGTTCGAAGATAACTTCACGCCGCTGCTTATCAATGTCCTTTTTATACGACTCTGTCTTGCTTTCTAACCTCTGGCGCACATATTCATGAATTGCTCTCATCTGAGAAACAATATCTTCAACATTGCCACTCGACTTTTCAGCAAAAGGAATGGGTGCAAGATCAAGAGCAGTGTTTGGCTGCTGTCCATACATGATCATGAAAGGACTATACCCAGTGGTACGATTTACAGCACAATTATATGCAAATTCGCCATGTGACAATCGCGTCTCCCAAGAGTGAGGATTTTCATCAATCAGTGTCCTCAATAGATTTCCCAAGGTTCAATTGACGACTTCAGTTTGCCCATCAGTTTGGGGATGAAACACAGTACTATATTGCAGTTTAGTACCGACATTCTTCCACAATTGTCGCCAAAAATGACTGAGAAACTTTGTGTCCCGATCAGAAGTAATAGTCTTTGGAATGCCATGCAATTTATAGACTTCCTTAAAAAATAATTCAGCAATACGCGAAGCATCCATAGTTTTGCGGCAAGGAATAAAATGTGCTATCTTTGAGAATCGATCTACAACAACAAAGATGGAATCCATACCTCTGAGAGTGCGAGGTAGTCCAAGAACAATGTGACATTCTGAAATCCGACCCACTTGGGATTTATGAAATGAATAGTTTATGGACGTGCTTGTAGTTAGATCTCGTCCGGAATTGATCACTTCGGGAATACTAATCGTTAGGGAAAGGCTAATTAGGGAATTAAATTCGCGCGACCCAAAGAACTCGATCGTGAACTGACTTTCGATCATGAGAATCGCCGAGGTGACATTTTGAGCCATTGTAGGCCGATCCAAGGATAGCCAGGGATCAGTTTGCCACTGTCATAGTAGTGGATCGCGGGTGATTCCGCTAGACCATGAAATGAATTGACGAACGATCTTAAACCTATGCTAAACGATCGTGCCCATCGGATCTAGCGATCGATCCTCGCGATTAAGTGACAATCGAGGTCGGCACGACCTGAGTAAACTTGTACATGGCATGATTCAGTATCGGCCACGGGTCAGTAACGCGAATTTCCCTAAAAAACCACCCGTTAGTACGAGATATGTGAGTCATGTTATTCAGAACTTCGGCATTAATTAGAGACTGAGTTGGGCATTGGAAATTCAGAAAGTCAAGACAGAGCATTTGGATGAGGTTGTTATTTGCCCGAGTAGCCTCGGATTTGTCCGAATCCTTTAGAAAAACTGAATTTCGGCGAGAAATCGAAAATGACCATTTTACCCCTGAAGATTTGTTAAGGCCTATGTAATTTGGAAAGGGCATTTTGGTAATTTCGCCCTAGCCTAAGAATTAGAGATTTTTGGACAATTTTGCCCTTGGACTTTTTGAGAAATTCCCAAATTGCCCTTGGATATTTTGAAAAAGATTTGATCCGGACCGTCGATCTTAAGATAAGATCAAATCTGGACCGTCGATTGGATTTATGAGAGATGGGCAAGATGGTCTTGTGGCCCTCAATTATTGGCTTGGATTATTTAAGCCAATTTTCCCTCTCTCTCTCTCTCTCCTCATTCTCTCTCTCTCACCTCTCGGCTCACTCCCCCTCTCCCTCACCCTCACCGAACCGGTCGCCCCCCCTTGCCGCGCCGCCGCTTGCCGGTCGTCTGCCCACTGTGCCACCGCCGTCCAGTCGCCGGACCGTGACCCCACCCTCACGCCGCCGTCCCTCTCTTTCTCTCTCTCCCTTTTCCGCGGCCGTGAACAACGGCAAGGAAGCCGCCAATCGCCGCCCGCCGTCCAGCAAGCCGCCGAGCAGCTCACCATCACCGCTCGCCGCCGTCGCCGCTTGCCGCCGCCGAACCGCCAGCCTACCGCCCCTTTTCACTCTAGCCGAGTCAGTCTAAAGTTCGTGTAAGTTGCCCTCTAAACCCTATCTAGGATGTCAGGTATCAATAGACGCGGTTAGGGGTGGAATCAGACTTAATTATACGCGGTTTTGGCTAAATTAGGGGCTGTTTTGGGGTTAATTTAGCGGACTGGTTTGAGGGCTGGTATTACTGATTTTAGATGGTGAAATGATGATGTTTCGAGGCTGAGATGGTGCCGGATTGAATGCTGGAAATTGGGACTCGTAGTGACGAGTATTTGGCTCGATTTGAGGATAAATGGTGTTGGTTTGGTGCATGGTATGGTGGCTGGAATGTGATGTTCGTTATGGCTTGAATTGAGTGAGAAAATACTGAAATTGTGATTATTATGTGGCTGTGATTATGGGCCGTTTGTGGCCTTGTGTGTTTGTTGGATTATGTTTTGGTTGATTGAAATGTGAGCCACTCTATGCACGCTTGGGCTAAATTGATTTTAATTGTCAATTGGCCGTGTTGGATGCTCATTGAGCATGAGAAATATGGTTGAATTGACGTGTGCACGGGCCACGTGTGATTGGCCAATTTATTGGCAAGTGGCTATTGAGCATGTGAATGAGCGAGAAATCGTGTGTAGTGTGGTATGTGTGATTGCGGAAATCCCTGAGGCGGTACCATTACGCGGGGATATTTATCCATCCTGAGGCGGTACCATTACGCGGGACGATGCCCGGTATTACCAGAGGACGGCCAACCTGAGGCGGTACCATTATGCGGGTTGTGTCGTAGGTAGTAGGTGTTGAGCCTGAGGCGGTACCATTACGTGGGCAAGATACACGGCATGAGGTGGTACCATTACGCCGGCCCTGAAGTGTTGTTTTGAGTTGGTCGCAGTGAACTTGAGGCGGTACTACTACGCGGGTCACTGGCGAGGCAAGTGTGAGATGGTCGCAGTGAACCTGAAGCGGTACCATTACGTGCAGGTTGCACGCTGGAAAGGCCCAGGTAAGTATTGACTATGTGCCTGCTGTGTGATAGATCGATTAGTGTGGTTGTGGTTGTGATTGTCTGGAGGTACGTGATAGCCTAGGTGGGGTTTAGGGTGTGTGCTTGCTGAGATGTATTCTCATGGTTGTTTCAACCAACAATTTCAGAACCCCGGCCTGAGCAATGAAT